TACTAAAATTTAAAGGAGTAAATCTAAAAATCATGTCAAATCATGTTTTCTACATAAATCAAAATCTGTTGAAAAATAAAATAAAAATATGCCACTTATTTGCACTTTGCGAAATTATGCGCTTTTGGCAGTTGCATCAAATCATTTTTTGTTAATGCCATCAGATCTGCACCATTCGCTCGATTATCAAAAATGAGAACGCACATTAAATGCCTTCTCCTTTAAATGTGTAATTAAGGTCTAATTTTTTAAAAAAACAGTTAATTAATTAGTAGACTAATTAAATTCAATTTGTTTAATAAGTTAAATTCCATTTTAATTTAGGGAATTAGATGACTGAAATACTATGTATCACCATATATATGAGAGTTAGACGAAAGAGGTTTAAGATCATAGCTTACAAATATTTTGAAGAGGGTCGCCTGTTTGCAAATCGAATTTAATTAAATTATGCAAAATTTTTATATATGAAATATTAAACTATTTATATCAAACGAATGGGTTACGGCATCATGTTTGTTATTTTATTACAGTATGTAGATACATACATTGCCAATGAGTGATATATTTTCTTGCTCCTCTAATATTACTGGACCCTTAAATTTACTTTAGTTTGCTTAACTTATTTTTTGCTAAATATTTTAAATATGTTCTTTGGTCAGACACTCATGTTATTATACATATTTCAGTTACCCAAATTCATTAATTAAATTGAATTTAATTGTTTAAAGATGTGGCAACCCTTATGCGTGTAGTTTAGCATTTTCAAAACCAAACCGATTGATATTCATATTGTAATATCTAATTCATTTAACTTAATAAATAATTTAAATTCAATTTTTTAACAGGTGGCAACCCTTTTCAAAAAAAAAAATAAAACTTTACTGCACATCTACAGACTAATTCCTGCAAACTGACACCTCACTTTTGAAAATGGAATGAACTATATGTACTACATACATATCTACCTATGTCAATGCAACAAGAATCCAAATTTCGAACTTTAAACTGCATTTAGAGAGAAAGTATGAAAGGTATCAAAAAAAAAAAAGAAAACATTGCATTTTTGACTTCAGCGTCCTCAAGTTCTCTAAGAAACAAGTTTTCATTTAAATCCATCCATAATTATGTGGCGTGGGAATAGGGCTGTTAGATTTCTTGTATCCGAAAACCCCCAGAACGACCCTTTCATGGTAAAAATATTTGCATTCAAATCAAACTTACTACAAATCGCCATCGGAAAACTGAAAAACACCATAACTTAGCGGCTTCAAGCTAGCCAAACCACGAACAAAAGATGCGTCCATTGGGTTACTATTTTATAACTTCTCCCGAAAGAAGCCCAAAATTTAGCAAAAAATTTCCAACTGTTCCTTTCAATGCACCCACTTGCAAGTGCAGCTTCTATGGCGAAAAATTCAGACTTATGTATATACATACTTATATACTAAAACTTGTATATACATGCATACATATATGTACATGTGCGTTCAACTATCGATGCCTGATTCCCGGCAGAAATTCGCAACATGCGAAATGTAAAAAAAGGAAAGGGAATACAAAATATTTTAATTAAAATTTCCTAATCGTGTGTGAAGTGTTTTTATCTGATGTTGGGATCATTCGCCGCCGGATCCGTTTAACCTCATATCGCTTTTTGTCTCTTCGTCTTTTTTATTCAGTATGTCTGTCCTTTGCAAACTTTTTTGACTCAAACTTTTTCTTTTTTTTTTCGGGTGAGCGCTTCTCTTCTCCTCAACTCCTAAACGTATACGTTCACTTACAAATCCGCTGTCTTGTTGGATTGTGTTAAACCTGAAAGCGAATTAATACGAAACGTAAAGATCGCGTTTCCAATTGCCATTTCGTGTTTGAAACTTTGTATTGCCTGCATGCGCACAAGTCGTTGGTTGGTAGGAGTGCGAATGCAGTGATTTGGTGTTGGAAAAGCCTCTTTCGTACTTCTTGCCAAGTTCAGCAGCCGTAAGCGGTTAGCAGTAGCGGCGGTGGCAGGATGTGACAGTGAAATAATAAATTGCATTTCGTTTCTTGTACGCCGATTTGTAGCGCTGATACACATGCACATGCGTGCATGTTTAAAGATCGCTTGCAAATATGTATGTATTCTGTAGCTACAAGTGTACGCCAATTGAGATGGTCCCAAATGAGCAGGTCCCTAGCCAGGCCAACTAGCAATCTACATACATACATATGTACATGCATACATAAATAGACACCGATGTGTGATAGTGTCGAAAATTTAGCTGGGATTGCATTGAGAAATAATTTAAGGAATTTGTTCAATTGGCTGCGTACATGGTACATTTACACTGAATTAAATGTAATTTATTTATTTGCTAATAAAAACAAACGCAGTCGGGAGGGAAGAGAATAAAAATTGTGTTCCTCTGAATAAATAGATAGCACTTGCATGTCGTTTGTTTGAATGAAAGTGTTTGCATAAGAAGCTTAATTGAAGGAGCTGCAGAGTAGACGAAGTCACTGATTCATCTGTCATTACCAGCACTCACTTCGCGCCTAAGTTTTTAATGATTTTAACACGTCCATATATTGGAAGCTTCACAACTAAAGCTACTGAGGAAGAAACAAATGTGCTTCAAGCATAGAAAACGATTACTAAAAGTGGCGAAATCCCACAATTCAAACTACCGGTTTTCGAAGGCAGCAGGATACTGTCATTGCCTTCATGGACCATGAATCATGGTAGACAGCAAACTTAAATGGAAATTCAACGTCGATGATTTTAGACGAAAATTCTTTGTAGCATAATGCACTTGCTTGAGAATTTTCTAGGGGAAATGGGGACTAAACCCTAAACGGCGCACAATGGTACTACAGCGACCAAAAATATTAAAACCGGACCAGCGAATTCTGGGAAATCAATCACGCAGATTCATAGCAAAATGTCCGGCTAACCCAAATTAAAAACAAAAAATGTTGATAAAAATGCATTCTTGCAATCATGGAACGGGCTTAGTGTATATACAATGTAAAAAATTAATTTGTAATTTAAATTAATTTTTCTACTAATGCGGATATATATGGGCTTATCTCTAGAACTTTTGATTGTCGACATTTAAAGAAAAAGTTGTGGCACATTCAAGTGGCAGAAGTGGCAATGCATACCCCAAGGACTATAGGCCCCTAGTGGGCTTCCTTTCCTCAAAAGACCCTGGAGAGGTCAATAACAGGGCACATGCTATCAAAGGCACAACACGCTTACAGGAAGTTGGGTAAATACACAATGTTGTTGGACGCATAGCGGCGGCTCAGAAGAACAGGGAATTCGCAATATCTGTAAGCAAGCCACTTTAGACGGATTGACGACAATAGGAATTCATCCCGTAATATGGAACTGGAAAAGCAGTTTATTGAGCTGCAGAAGTGTATCGGCGCAGTGGGATAGGCATGAGACCACCCAACCGGTTTGCGAAGGTACGCCACAAGGGGACGTATTAGATAGATAGATATTCGGCTGAGAAATTCACTGCGACCAGGGGATCTATTGTTTCCTCTTGCTCCTTACAGCACCTCTGTCAATTGTAGCTCCTTAAGGAGATCCATCAGATTGTTAGCTGATGTCGAGGTGGACATATTATTTCCGCTACTTTGGTCGCTGGTGGGCAATCGGATACTTAAGAAAATGGAACTTACGGCAGATGATATTTCTGTCATAGTAAGCGGTAAGTGTCTGTCCACACTCAACTCACTTATGAGCGATGCACTACAGGATATACATCTTTGAGCAACCGAAGTGTTATTAACACAGAAAAGACAGATTTGGTACTCTTCACCAGGAAATACTGGGTTCCCAACTGGTCTCAGCTTAAGCTGGATGGGGTGACCCTCCAGCTGAAGCAAAGCACCAAGTATCTCGGAATAACACTCGATAGCAAGCTGTCGTGGCGCCATTGCGCCTAAATGTGGATCTTTACATCGATAGTCAGGCGGCTGCTCTGTATTATGGGGTGCATGTTTGGTGGACAGCAATGGAGCAGAAAACATTTCTTAAAAGACTTGAAATTATATAAAGGCTATCAATGATCAGCAAGACAGGAGCACTCAGGACAACACCAACGTCAAGAACTGCCGCCAGGCTAAATGCAGCATTTTCCATGCGGAAGTATTGGCCATAAAGAGAGGCGGTAACCTAGTAAACAAACAGTTGAAACTCTACATCAACAGTCAGGCTGCAATAAAGGCGCTTCTATCGCACAGCCTTCCTCCAGAAGTATGGCGGAGTGCAGGACAGCTCTGGGTTTGCTACATGGTGGTACTGACGTAAGTCGGACTTTGGTTTCTCGGGCATACCGGCGTCGTGGGTATCGAAGAGATCCACAAGCTCACCAAAGACAGAGCTCTGTCTGAATTTATGCTGTTAGAGGAGGGGCTGATTTCCCCCCAGGCAATTAAACGGGAGTTCGACATGTCCGGCGCAGAAGGCGAGGACTATAACGCATTGTTCGAATATATCTAGGAACATGTGCGGAGCGTATGACATAAAGGAACTCTCTCCTCAAGAGGGAGGATGCCAGGCTACTGGTGGGTGTTCCTACGGGATATTTCCTGTTGGTATCCTGTTGTAAGTCTCCAGCTCTTCTCAGACTGCGAATAGGTCTCCTAGGAGCAGGCTTTCTGTCTAGCCTGGAAGCCGCTGACAAGGTAGGGTACATTATGGTTTTTCAGTTTGCCGAAAAGCTAGCCAGCTTACCTAACCTAACCTGCACTCATCCAACCGATTTTACCAGCGGACCTATCAGGTGGGTGATCTCATCAGTGAATTCAGATGTTTCGACCATGTAATATAAATTCTATATAAATAGATAAACATCTCCCAAAATGTTAGGTCAACACTTAACAAAAAGTGTAACCGCCAAATTATTATTATATTATTACTCGTATTTTCACAATGTCTATAAGTAAAACATACGCAAATTTTAATCTCCTCAATTTACTTATTTTGTTTCCGTCTATTGCAGGTAAGCGTTGCTCAGAGCGCGCTAATGAATGCTACGCCGGTCAGTGCCAAAATGGTGGTACGTGCCTGCCAGGTTCTATTGAGAAAAGTCTACAGTCCCATTGCCGCTGCGCGTCCGGCTGGCATGGCGTATTCTGCGACGAACCGATTGACCAGTGCAGCGGACAACCATGTCATAATGGTGGTACCTGCGAATCCGGCACCGGCTGGTTTCGTTGCTTATGCGCTCAAGGTTTCTCTGGACCAGACTGCCGAATCAACGTGAATGAATGTTCACCGCAACCGTGTTTGGGCGGCGCAACCTGTATTGATGGCATAGGTGGTTATACGTGTATTTGTCCGCCGGGAAGACATGGGCTGCGTTGCGAAATTTGTATGTCAACTTGCTGCTTCTTTAAGGCGATAATTTACGAATAATAAATGAGGAATTTCTTCTTTCTTGCAGTGCTTTCCGATCCCAAGTCCGCCTGCATTAATTCTACCAACACACTCTCGCCATATCATGCTTTGAATCAAAGTCAATCCGATTGGTTGGAGCTGGCGCTATCTGGCAGCACTGACGAGTACTGTAATGCCTGTATCTGTGAGAATGGCACGTCGCGCTGCACGAATCTCTGGTGTGGCTTACCGAACTGCTTTAAAGTGGATGCTACTACGAAATCGTCAAATCTATCCGGCGCGTGCAAGCAACACGAGGTATGCGTGCCAACGATGAGTGAGGCCTGTCTATCGCCGCCTTGCGCTGTACGTGGCGATTGTCGTGCACTGGAGCCATCGCGCCGCGTGGCGCCTCCACGTCTACCCGCGAAACCCGAATGCTGGCCCAACCAGGCGGTGTTGAATGAGAATTGCGCGCGTCTCACAATACTGCTCGATCTACAACAAGTTGTCGAAGGCTCTTCAGTGGAGGGACTTTGTTCTGTCGTTCGCTTTTTACTGGCTTCGAAACTGGTAAAACGGACGCAAAACAGCAACGAAGCCATGCTCATTATTATTTGTGACCTGAAAACAGGCACTAACGATACCATAGAAGTGACAGTGGTAAGTAAAAGAGTTTATCGAAGTACAAGCAATACAAATTTTTAATTTTCCTTCTCTTTTGCAGTCATCAACGAAATCAGCTGATTCCGAATTGCCCATCACTGTTGGACTGCTCGGCGAGCTGTTATCTTCGCGTCAGATTAATAGCTTGCAACGTAGGAATGAGCTGCGCAATGCAAAATTCGCACCACTGGTCTCTATACTTGAGGTTAAAGTAGAAACCGCACTCATAGCTGAGGGCAACCACAACAGCCTACTCATCGGCATTCTATGTGGCATCTTCATTGTGCTTATTGGCTGCGCTGTGTTCATCACACTCATTTGGCGTCAACGCTTACATCCGCGCTCCACTTCGGGCATCAATCTTACACCTTCCATGGACGCACTACGTCATGAGGAGGAAAAATCGAACAACTTACAGAACGAAGAGAATCTACGACGCTACACGAATCCCCTAAAAGGTTCGACAACCTCGCTGGGGCGTACCAATGGCATGGAACTTAGCCTCAATCCTTCTCCAGAGTTGGCTACGGTCTCTTCATTGGTGGCCGCTTCCACCTCAGCGCTGCATCGTTCACAGCCACTTTATCCAACCAATTGTGGCGAATCGAATTTCGACTGTGAAATGGAGGTGAGCGCAACGGGGAGTAGAGGTAATGCGACCAGCAAAACTGAACTGCATCACGCGCACGTGCAAAAGCGTAATTCACAAATTTTGCTGCATAAAACTCCTAATTCCGATATGAAGAAGAACACTGTCGGATCGCTGGATAGTCCGCGAAAGGATTTCGGAAAGAGATCAATCAATTGTAAATCAATGCCACCAGCTGCCAGCGAAGACTCAGACGTGCTCACTGTGGTGGTGTAATACGCAATCACAATGGCAGTACAGCAGCCAGTGTGTATTCGAGCCGATGATCTCAGAATATCTACCGAATTAATTAGCAAACTTTAGGATTATTAAAATTGCCTTTTTTGCAAAAAGCGGAGAAGAAATAGGGAATTGTAATCAAATGTGCATAACACTGTGCGACAATTTTATGACAGTTCGGGCTGGTTTGAACTCTACTCGGCCTAAGTAGTTTTCAAAAAAGTGAAAAAATATTTTAAAATAAATGTCTTAGCGAAATTAGATCTTAAGACATATATAGTAAAATTTCATGGAAAAAATATTTGCGTAGAACTTGCTAACCCATTAGCTCCCGCTTGAAAAGGTCGTTTTGACCCTTACTTCAAGAAACTCCGCAAAAAAACAAATTTGGAAGTTCGTTAGAGGACTGATATATTCTAGAAAATTATTCTTCGGAGAAAACTTCAAGCCATCAACGTAAAGCTTCTAAAAAATTTAAATAAAAAATCAATAAAAAAACTTGGATTTTTTCTGTAAACAACTTTTTAAAATTGAGTTTGGCCGTTATACCTTCTTGGTATAGACTTTTTGCTTTAATTTTACAGAGACTTTTACGTTGATGGCATAAAGTTTTTGTCTGTCTGAGAGGACCCCACATAAAAATTTCCCAAGAATAATTTTTTTTTTTAAATAAAAAACCTCTAACGACCTTCCAAATTTGCTTTTTACCGGATTTCTTGAATTAAGGGTTAAAACGACCCATCCAGCCGGGAGCTAATGGGTTAAAATATTCTTAAACTTTAGTTTCACTCAGAAATTTATTTTAATAATTTTTTCCACTTTTTTGAAAACTGCTTTGGTCTGGACATGAAAACTAACGTAAAATAATAATACAAGCTAACATTTGCAAATCCATCGAGGGTTTTACTATTGGATTCGTATGCTTTCAGAAAAAGGTTAGCAAAGTCCGGGCTGGTTTTGCCTGTCGCACATTGTAATGTGATGTTTATTGAGCATTCATCAATTTTTTTTTTTAATTACTCAGCGAGTGAAAGGTTCGAAATGAAAGAGGAATATTTGTTGTTTCTTGTGAATACAATCAGCTCCTCTTCTTGCCTTGAGTATATTTATTTATGAACAAAAGTTTACTTAATAAATTGTTTAGGAGCTATAACTATTTTGATATTAACTACGCTATTTAGCTACAGAGATATGAAGATGAGCAAAAAATTAACACGGAGATAGCAATATGCAATAGTTGCAAGCACTTATAAGTAGCTTAATTAAATTTATTTATTAAGCCCAGGCTAGGAATAGAATTAAGAAAGACGATAAAAAGCAATTACGACTAAATGCATCTATGTATGTAGTAGTTAATAAGATTCTATTACATATAAGTATAATGTTGAGTTTGAAAAATCCTACAGCGTGTGATATTATAGAATAAATAAATAGAAAGTAAGTAATTAATTAAGTGTAACTGCATAAATAAATTGTGTGTTTGTGTCGTGTTACAATGAAAAAAGACAAAACAACTTGATTTACCACGATTACTTGGTTGTACAAAAAACGTAAAATACAGCAAAATGGAATGTAATGTGTAAATAAACCGATTTATTAGCAATAAGAGAATCATAAGAAGACTTTAATAAAATGTGTAATTTAGAATTCCTTTTTTTTATTTCTTTAAATATTTTTATTTTTTCCTTAACTGAACTGTTATCGTTTATGATGTATTTTGCTCTGTCGGAAGCATCAAAAAGAAATTATCGTTTATAATGCGGAATCGAAATTTATTCTGATTTTCAATGCTTCCATAATTTAATAGGGTGCAAAAAAGTTTTTTTTTGTATATTACCGTTTAATATCAATTTTAGTTAGCCATTATTTATTTCGAACATGTGTTAGTTTTTGTAAATGCGATTTAGTTTAAGTAAAGATTTTAAGAAGTTTCCTGATTTTAAAATATTTTGTCTAGAACTTTTAATACTTTTATAAATAATTTCAATAAAATAAAAAACTAAAGTTTATGAAAACCAATTATTTTTTCTTCAGACTTTGTGAACTTGAAAAGTTTAGACGAGTCTTCTTATTTTTCTTGCTTGGCAATGGAATCAATCGCTTAAGTGGATTTTAAACGAGTTCATTTGACATTAAAATGATATGCCAAGCGAGCAAAGTCCTTCTCCACCTGGGGCTGGATTCAGTAACAGTGAGAAAATGTAGTGTACACCGAGTGCAAAACTCACCGAATAAAATTCAGTGAGTTTTTCTGAAGAGAACAGTACACAATTTTGACAGTTAAAACTCATTCTCACACCTGAATCGTAAAATGAAGAGTACACACAATTTTAAGCGTACACTTTAAAACTCACAGTTACAGAATCCAGGCCCTGGTCTTCCCATCGCATGGGAGCGCTCGCGATATTACCAAGGCAGCGGAACCGCTGTGTTTCACTTTGCTGCACTATGGCCATATCGGCGTAAAGCGCACACATCGTTTCATCGTCTGTAGTTTTCGCAGTCACCAACGCGTAAAGGCTCGTAAATCTTCCGCAAAATCTTTCTCTCGAGTACTCCAAGGGCCGAAAAGTGCGGCATCTGAAAATGGTCGTGGACAAATCGGTCTTCTTCGCCACAGCACGCCAATCACTTACCTTCTTTGCCAACTGACGCCAATTGGAAATGTCAAGTAAAGTCAAATCCTTCTCCACCTGGTCTTCCCAACGTAGAGGAGGCCTTCCTCTTCCTCTGTTACCAGCATCGCAGCCCGCGTTGAATACTTTCAGAGCTGAAGCGGAGCCGCTGAATTTTGATTCGCTCAACGTTAAATCATTTGCGGTATTCGCCATCGCCAACGCGTAAAGGCCAGTAAATCTTTCGCAGAATCTTTCTCCAAGAGCCGCTTCATCAGATGTTTTCATTGTCCATGCCCCGGCGCCATACACCAGCACAGGCATGATGAGTGACTTATAGAGTGTGATCTTTGTACGTCGAGTGAGGACTTTGCTTACAATTGCCTACTCAGTCCAAAGTAGCACTTGTTTGCAAGAGTGTTCTCTGTTGAATTTCAAGGCTGACATTATTGTTGGTTCCTAAATAAACGAAAAGTAGACGACTTTATCAGACTTGTAACTGTCACAAGATATGTACTTCGTTTTGTCATCATTCACCACCAGACCCAGACAGACGTAGCTCTTAAAGCTAAAGATTCGTTAAATAAGGAAATGAAGCTCCCTAACTTGATGTTATTTAAACTCTTAGACTAGCTTAAAATAAGATTAAAGTAATTGGCACGTAGTCATAGTCGAAATAAAGTCCACTGAAAAGTTAGTTGCAGTTATTTTTTACAGGCATCCCATTGGTAGAGGGCTTCGGTGTACGAATTTGTTGTAACATCAGGAGTTGAATACTTGCTATAGCTGCAGTCTCTTAAAATGTCCTCCAATCACGTCGTAAGCAGATTTCCCATGCGAACTTGCAACAAAGTTCAATTCTGCCATTTCCTTGAAGGGATTTTCATGATTTCAGACCTTTGGTAAAATTAATACGATTTATTCATATTGTTTTTGTTTTCTACACACCTTTCCTCTTTCAAAAATATACAGTTTCATAAAATTGCAATGTCTATTTATCATATTGCTCTAGCATTAGACGATATAGAGTCCAAATGCATAAGTAGCCCATTATGCCCATTTGGATACTTAAAGTTGACAATATAGACAATGTTTTTATGTAAAAATAAAAATTGAAAAAAAAAATGCTATAATAAAAAAAAAAATAAAAAATAAAAATTTTACTAAATTTTTTTCTTTGTTCATACGTTACTTATTAATGTAAAAAATTTGTAATGAAAGCCCATAATAAGGTGGAAGAGCTACATTTTTTTCATCAAGGCTAGATAAAAGGTGTCCAAGATACAGCACTTTAAAGAGAGGTATGTATGATGTTTTCTTAAAATTTAAGTCCCGTGTAAATAGGCAACCCTACGTCATATCGGCAAAATATGCTGCACGTATATTCATGTCACCTAGACCTTCAGTCTCTTCAACTTTCATCTAAATCCATAGAGGTCGCGCTTAGAGGTGGCCGCGGTGACATGAAATGCCTCAGATATGATTAATTCCAAAAATTATTTAAGAAATTCAGTGCAATGTTGAATAAAAATATGGGTACCAAATGAAATAGGAAATTTCTTTAGAACTAAAAAATTCTAGGATGTTATCGAATTTATATAAATCCTTAACATTAAATTTTTTCAAAAACAAATATTGCGAAATTTCAAGGATAAAATTTTCAATACTTACCAGTCCTTTTGCACCAATTTTATCTGATTAAATTCTACAGAATTTCCTCTTTAATTTGATACCCATACTTCTTTTCTAAGCACATTCACTGAATTGTTTAAATAATTTTTGAATTACTGACGTCAGAGTGAAAAGCTAAAAGCGCACTTTTAGTGCATATATCTTGCCCGTGGTTTTGCGAATATATTGATTTCTGTGTGTAAAATTTCCTATCGCATATGTATAATGAGCTAGACATTTATAAAAAATATTAATTATGAAATAAAAGAAAGAAATATAGCCAAGAGGTATTGGTCAAGAAAAGGAGTTAGGCAAACTGTGGACCTGCTACGATAAATTGGTAGATCTTATTTGGCCCACCCTGTATATGGCAAAAAATTACTAAACATGGTATTTCCGAGCTCGGTGTGAATGCCCATACTGTAAAGTCACCAAATCCACTATGGTGTATTTACAATGTTGCCAGATATCCAGGTTTATCTCTAGATTAGAATAAGGTCCTTCACACACATTTCGGTAGTTTCGGTTCGGCCTTTACATTAAAAAAGACAATTAAGGATGAGTATTAGTTGTCAAATTATTGTGTAAAGTAGACATTCAGGCAATTATAAGGAAAATAGACTTTTTAGCAACCGCCGTTACTGTCTTTTGGCGTGAATTTCATATTATACATATATTAAAATATCCAAACACAAACCAATTTTTCATAATTTTGCGATTGTTTGCTATTATTTATTGTCTCTTTTCCTCAAATTAACCAAGTCGTGACCGAATTGTTCAATTTATTTTCTTCGAAAAATTAAAGACAGTGACAAAGATAATGAGAGAATTGTGAATGTATTAGTAAAAGTGTGAATGTATTGCTATTATCTTCCTAAAATTGTCCTATTTAGAGCGTGTGTGAATCGGTAACAAAGTTCGCGGCAGTAAATTTTTGACAAGTTTGAGGTGAATGAAGTTTCAGTAGCCCATGAGGCTAGTGAAGTTTTTGACAAATGCATAGAAAATTTTGACATTTGCAAAGATTGCTGCTGTGTGTAATTTTTCGTATAATAAATGCTTAAGTTGATGAACTGCAATCAATGATGGTAGATGGTTTCTTAAAATGTTAATTTCACTCAATTTGTAATAGCTTATTCCGCATAAATCTGCGGTTATCAAAAATTTACTGCTGTCAAAAAACATTTCATTTCACACAGCAGATTGGCAAAACTGTCTCACCATAGTAAAAATATTATTCAACAGCTTTCCCCATAGAACTTTGTTACCGATTCACACACGCCTGTAAACCACAAGTTACTACTGCTAGTCTAGTAAATTGTTGGGGTATCCACCAAATTCAGAAAATGGCCTGGACATCTGGCAGAAGAGCAGATTTGCGCAAGCAATGACTGTGGTCAACAGGCTATTTTGCCAAAGTGCCAGCTCACTTGCTCAATTCTATGCATACCTATTATCTTTATCAAAAGCTCGTATGTATATTGCCTTTTACAAGCTTGCCAACAACAATTTTACAAAAACAAATAACCGAGTACGAAACCGTTTTTTATATAAACTTACAGTTATTTAAGTTACCTCCCACCACAAATTAGGATTTCTCATTCGTTGAAGAAGACGCGTTTCTTCATTTGAAGCAAATGCGGAAAGAATATTTTCCCAGCGTTAAAGGAATAAGCCATAAATAAATTAAAAATTCCACAACTCTCTTATATTTTAAAAGCTAAAGATTTTAAAGAAATCCTTCAGATCTTACGAAATTTGAGTCTTCAAATAAATTGTTGAAAAATATTAACATGCCAATTTACGAAGTGTTATTTAAATCGTCCATGTTATAGTCTTTTTTTTTTGGTTAGTGAAGAATACTTTAAATTTATTGTATTTTCTGTTTAGTGGATGGTTTTTTGCTATACATGTTTAATAAAATTATACATTAATTCTGAAACTCCTTATTTTTTATAGTAGCAGTAAATACAGTTTTTTCCGGATATTTAGTGTTTTCAAAAAACATCTGGCAACACTGAGTTCCACAACGAACAGATGATAGAAATTCACCACACTTCGAAATACGTCAAAATCTGATTGACTTTTTGAGCTGGACAAAAATAAATAAACTGATAATAAATAAAATAACATTCCTATTTGTAATATTCTTTATAGTATCAAATAATACGGGAAGCAATAGTGACAACAATTAAATAATTTTAAAGAGTCCAAGCGCCACATTTCGAATTTCATTAATTAAGGAAAAATGTTGAAGCTTGCAAAAAATTTGCTGTTGAGTCTTTATATGCAGTATGAATTGGTTACCTGCATTTATATGTTTGAGCCCTGGGAGAAGAAGCTGATAAGTGAGTTTTAATCTTAAAATTAAACAATCTAAGATTTCTCCTGAAATTGAATTGGATTTGCTGGAGTATTCAAACAGATAAGCTAAAAATAGCGCCATGCAATAATTGATAAGACGCATTCGTCGTTTAAAGTACAAAACCGCGTATCGTCGTTCTGCAAAACCGCGTAACTGATATTTTTATGCCGAAAATTGGATTTGCCAACACAAGCTCTTGGTTCAAGCCTTATAATGGAATGGCCTTGAAGTATTCTAGCCAGAAATGCGATTGCTTTATAAAAAAGAAAACCATTGCAAATATGAATGTCTTTACATACGCGGTTTTGTATTATCGTGATATGGGGTTTTGCATTTTGTTGATACGCGGTTTTATACTTTAAACAACGATATGTAGATATACTACAAATCTACGTTTTTTCTCTAAATTTCTTTGTTTTCTGGCTAAAGTTACACAACGAAAAAGTAATGCACTATCATTTAGATACATACATATGTACATATGTGTGTATATGCAAGAGATGCTTAAAAATGAGTATACAATAGTAAACGAACCCTGGAATAAATCACAAAGATTATAAAAGCTTGGAAAATATCTCAAAAAGTGTAGTTTACTTTTAATTGACCGACAACGAAAACCCCGGGCAGTAACCCTCTACTCTTCAATCCTTACAACTTCGTTGCGAGACTTCATTTCCAAACTTTCTTAAGAATTTTTAGACTGTCTCGACAAGAACTCAACCCTCTAAAAATTAAAAACAAACGCTAGGCTTCGTATATTTAAGTCGGTTAAAGAATTAATTCAATGGGGAGAATATAAAGTATATTTGACTAACAATAGTTCAAAATGAACATTCAGATATTTTACTTAAAATCGAATTGGATAGTTGGTATATATTATATATATAGCATTGGCCAAAAGTATTAATAATAATAATAATAATAGATTAGCGCTTACACATTTGTTAATGGTTGGTCGGGCTTGTCCTCCGATTTGTGTATGATAATTAAAAATTATCATATATTGGTGTGCCTAACACGTTTGGCCGAGGTTGTATTTCCTTTTCTTTTTCAATTTGAAAATATGCTCAATACACTTAGAAATTATATATTATTGGTTAGTAACAGGTGAATTATTTCTTTTTATTTTTCAGACAGTTTCGTCCTGCTCACGCTCAGCCTGGTCGTCTTCTCAAGTTTTGTTTATTTGCCGTCATATATTGAAACATTCCTCCAATTTGTATCCCCGCTGCCACGAGAAGAAGGTCCTGTGCCTTATACACCAATGTTGCATACTGAAAAAATAAGCATGAGCTAGAGGGATCGGAGCACAGGATATAACGCACAATTTGATAATTTAATTACAAAAGTAAAATGTTGTATGTATGTTTATTTATTGAAGAAATTCAAATTTAATATTTTTTTGCTTAAAATTTAAAAACGAAATACTATACTTACACGTACATGTGAGTAACATTTAGAAAAAGACTTACAGTTAGCAAAATTCTCAATATGTAATACATATAACTTTTCTGCAATTAATTTTTACCAATTTAATATAATAAGCTATAATAGGTGCTTGAGATAATATCTTTGCAATAAAAGTCGCATTAAGTTGTGTTTTAATAACACATTTGTATAATTTTTTTTTCAACTGAAATGTAAGAAGCATGTACTGATTACTACCGTCAGATACTGAATTATAAACTTCCCAAATGGCTATCGTTCATATAATGTTTAGTGTCGCGGAAATCGGCATAGGAAGTAGTATAGATAAATCCATACGTATGTAGTTACACGTTCCCACGACAGTCGGGTCTACGTAACCGGAACGACCCAGATTTATTTCTGGTCAAGGACTGTCGCTCCAGTAACCATCCCCAAAACTCTTTGGGGAGTTTGTATACTGTTACAACAACAACAGCAAGTGGATACAACATATCTCGCAAGGGGTACGCAGCAATAATTTAACGTAGGTGCATTCTTTTGCAACCGATCTACAAAAGAACACTGGCTTAAATGACGAAATCCAATTTCAGCAAAGGTCGGTTAAAAAGTACGCGACCGGAAGGGAAGTGAAAAAACTTCTCTATTGTGAATTGTTAATGGGAAAGTGGAGAGGAAAATTTTTGCTTTCGTATATACATGATTTATGTTTTAAATAAGTTCATTTATTACGCAAATACTTCGCATAATTGCTCATTTCTATTGTTTTTTGTGTCTACATCCCGTCCATGTTTCTTAACGCTATACCAACAGGGTTGCTTAAGTAGTTAAAAGGAAATTTTACTCGAGTTTAGCGTTCTTTTGTCGCTAGTTCACAAAAAAATGCAGCTAGTGTTTATTAAATTTAAAAAGATTAGATTAAAAGATTAGATTCATAAATTTATAATTATTTATTAAAACTAGATGCTGTTTCCACCAATTATTCAGTTTATCCGTATGTTAATTCCGCTTCCATAAAAACTCAGCATAAATTCTTTAACCAAAAATACTAATTCCAATAGGCGTAGAAGAGAGGCATTTAAAAAGAGCCCGACAATACCCCCTACAGAAACTGGGAAAGAAAATAAAATAAGTCGACATACATAAGTTGTAAACTACGTATGTTTGCATGTACATACATATCGTCGTTTAAATTACAAAACCGAGTATCGTCATTCTGCAAAACCGCGTAACTGACATTTGCTACCAAAAATTGGATTGCTCACACAACCTCTTGGCTCAATCCTAATTCGTTATTTCAGGACGAGGACTAGCGAAAAATGCGATTGCTTTATAAAAAAAGACAACTATTTTGAAATATGAGTGTTTCTACTCTCTACAAAATAGTTTATGCAACCTCACATACGCGGTTTTGCATTTTGTTGATACGCGGTTTTGTACTTTAAACGACGATATGCATACTCATATTTATTTAAGTGCATAAATTTATACTCACTGAGTAAGTCCAACGGAGTTTTGGTGACACGTCGAATATAACGTTGAGTTGGTAGTTCAATAAGGCTAATAAGCACCTGCGTTAGTTCCAAATCACTTTCACTTTCCCTGAATCCGAAATAAATGGAAAATAGGGCAGATGTCAGTCAATATATTTTATAAAGTACAGTAGAGTACAGTACAGTAATACAGTTTTCATTATACATAAATATTACATACCCATCGGGAGAATTATAAACGATATTGTATTCTGGTTCTTCACATGAGCTCATGCAATCGCACGACTTCCGCATCAACTGTATTTCCTCATAGTTTCTAGTCAGACAACTTAAGCCTCGATAATCACACGCAGGCACGGCCGTGCTATTAGCTATAAGGGAAACAAATAGATCATACAATTTTATAATTTACAATGCAAAGTTTACATGTCACTGATGGCACTAGCAAATGGCTACTACAATTACAATGCTGCAATTGTGCCACCAAGACGCACTCCACAATGCAAGTGGGAAAGCTGTAATAATCGTAAAATCCTGCGTTACGACCCCAATCTGTGCGTTCGTGCCTGAAGCGGCAGCGGCGCTGATCCAACGATAGCTGATAGACGCTGGCATGGTTATACACCTCCATGACATTGATGATGAGCTCTTTACTGCTACCAAGTAAAATAGTTTCACGAATCATACTCTCGAATGAAAGTAAAGGAATATCGATGGGTGAATGTATGAGAAGTTGAATGTTGGCAGATGTGTCGAATTTCAAATTTCCAGGACCAATCTCACGATTACTGGCGAATCTTATTTCGTCACTCTTGCTGCGAAAAAAACATATTTAAATTCGACAGTAAAGATGACACTAATGAGCAGGGCCGGATTTACGCAAGGGCAACATAGGCAGCTGCCCAAAGGCGCCGTGTCACAAAAGGCGCCATAAGTGGGATGCAACAAAACTGTTTCTCAAAATTTATGGAAAAAAATAATTATTAGCAATTCAAACGAGAAGAAGCAAGATAATTTTTTATTCAGTCAAATTCATATTATAGGTATTCATGGAAACCTCGTAAATGAATCGATTTCACATACAAAATAAAGTAAGTTTACGAGATTTGCATGGTCACGAGGCATTTAAGCGTTTATATGAGTTGCCCTATTATAAGAACAGAATACTTTTTGAACGTTGACAATATTTTCGATTCAAATTTCCCGCGCGCTTACACAAAGCGCTGCGCCTGCTGGCTGCGGTCGCACTGGGCTTCGCCATGCTCGTCAAGATACATGTGCAAAATAAGTCAAAACCTTAGTATTTTAGACTGTAGTCCAAAATATTAGGCAAAATTTACAGCTGGTTTCACCAAAGCAACTTAACTGAAAAATGATTATTTACAACTTCAGTCTAAATTTGTATCATAATATAATATGCCTAAAGCTAAGTTGCGTAAAAAATCTTAGATAACCGTTTTTTTAATTTTTTCTTTGGTTTATGATGGTAAAATTTCAACATTTTTCAACCTTAACACTTACATAAGTCCACTCCAGCTACTTCAATTGTTTGGCCTTGAGATTTGTTCATTGTCTTAGCGAAACACAGTTTCGAAGAAAATCGGAGCCGTTCTTGGTAAATATCTACAACATTATTCTAGATTATTTAATCAACGAATTAGAAAAGAGATAAAGTGCATATGAAAACATCGATACGAAATTCACGATCATCCTTTGTGCAAATAATTTGGACTATAATGAAAAAATCATTCTTCTGATCCACAATCAACATCTCACGATGAGTTCGTCCATTTTCTTGCTTATTGCTAAGCAAACAATATCCAGGTGAAATCTCCGCTACAAGTTTTGAAATTCCCCATGTAATGATTTATATACAGTTTTCCGAACGTGGACATTGCATATCGAATTTTTGGGACTACGGCTGTGTCCAATTGTAGGTCGAGAGATCTTTTTCTTGTTTAAAAAGGATACAAATTTATCCATGTTCCAAAATGACAGAAAATCGTCTCAACACTTTGAAATTGATTTTCCAAAAATAAACAAAATACTTATTCAGTCTCATTGCGAGTGTCGTGTCGTTTTTCAAAAATAGAGTCATATCGAAAATTGCTTGGCATTGGTTCAAATTTTCAACACGACTAGTGAATTAAAACGGAAAAACTTGTCAGCACTGGATAGTTTTCAACGATTTTCGTCGTTTACTTATTTCAGCACGACAGTAGGCAATGCCAATGTAGTCGAGTCGTGCTATTTAAACTAATTTTCGACTTGCGAAATGAGGCTGATTTACTTTTGTAAAATAAAAGTTCACCATATTCTTTGAAATTTTACTTGGTAAAAATATCAATCATAGTCCCCTGATGTTTTGATTGAAGATATGCTTTAATGAAATTTTTTAATTACATTTTTAAAAACATCGCATACAATTTTTTTTTAAGTATTAAGGCGGATCCATCGTTTTAGTACTGAACCAGATTTGCCGCTAACATATATTTGCCCTACCAAAACAAGTACCAAGGTCATACTCTAACAACACCCAAAATTACTAAACTCTGTTCAAAAGTCGAAAAATTCAATAAATTTTCATGCAAATTTACAAATTTTTAATGAGATTACCAAAATTGGCAACGCTGTTCTGAACTAAAGTTGAAGTTGAGTTCACAACTCGAAAGCGTTCAGAACTGGACATGGAAGAAAAATTCTGAGCTAGAACGATGAATCCACGCCTTTAGGGGCAGCTTTTTTGTGTCGGGGACGGTTGAGGGGGTAAATCCGGCCCTGCTCGTGAGTTTTGAATATGAATAAGGAAAAACAAAATTTTAAGATATTTGACCGAGATTTTCCTTCAATTTGTGGTGTGCGTGCCACAACTAAAAGGATGGATCTGAAGTTTAACACCGCCTCAATAAGTATTTCAGCGCCATTCTTTCGATGTTTAGAAGCAACACGAAAAAAAAACACAATATACATACATATGTATGTAAATAGAAAGGTGTAATTTTTTTTTGTTTTTTTTTTTAAATTATCGTACATATTAAAAACCAAGCTTATTTGAAAGAGCAATCCTTCCCCTATAACATAGGTATTTATTTTACATAACGTCCTACAACGAGATATAAAAAGATAATGCGAAACCGCGTATGTGAGGTTGCATAAATTATTGTCTAGAGAGTAAAAACACTCATATTTCAAAATGGTTCTCTTTTTTACAGAGCAATCGCATTTCTGGCAAGTATATTTCAGGACGCATGGTCAAGAGCTTGCGAGAGCAAATCCAATTTTGACAGCAAATGCCAGTTACGCGGTTTTGCAGAATGACGATACGCGGTTTTCTACTTTAAACGACGATATATATTTACTTACCGTGCTTGATTCGAATTGAATGTAAAACATATACCATATTCCGTATGGATGGGCAAAAATTCATCACAGCAGTTAAAGCGTCGATTTATATATCTGCAATTGAACAGTAGCTGCGAGCATTCACTACGAAACTGTAAACGATATATTACACCCAAACACATATATGTAGATATGTATGTATATAAAAGTACCATGTAGGATATCGGGTTAGACTAAGAGTACTCAATAAACTATACCTAAATTCTTGTAAGCAGTTACTAATTTGGACCAAATACACGCAAAGGCCTATTTACATTTAACTTCCTTACTGAATATCATTAAAACCATAAACAGGTTAAATGGACACGTTTTACATTACAAAACAAAAACAAAGAACTGATACATGGTGCATTACATTCGATCGCCTTAAAATTCAATTGCCCTAGCCAGCATAACCCTTAGATAATTTTTATTTTTTTACAAATCCTCTACATATTACAATGCTGCCAGTTTTAATACAATTTTTTACAATTTTTTTCTACAAAACAAATATCCTTATGGTTGTGATTTGTAGCCAGATGGTTTATTCTTTCCTATTGGGTATCCATGAAATTACCCACATACAATTGATAAAAAATAAACAACTTGTAGTTAGGTGTTTTGGGGAATTTCGATAAATATCTCACATTTGATCAGCAATAATAAAACCAACTAAAAGTGAGTTGTAAAGTTAGGCAAAAGTTATACAGACTTAATGGGGAGCTTGTTTTCTTTAAACGTATTTCTTTTTTAATATTCTCACACAAAAATTACTTTGAACAGATTTTTGCTCTTCACCTCACAGATTCCTTTTCGAATTCACTGAAACGAAACTGAAGATCGAAACTTTATATATTGTCTGACGGAATTCGCATATGGGGCCACCCATAGCTGAATATATAAACAAGCAAACAAATATGTACTATTGAATTAAGTAAATAAACATGAAAAAAATTAAAAAAAAAAATGTGTGGATATTTTCTGTCCAAAAGTACTTAGCTACAAGTTAGATGACACCTAATGCAGAGCTAACAACCCTTGACTATATCACTACCCCCGCCATACATATCTTTTCTAAAACAAAAAAAAAACATATACATAGGTACCTCCAGTTCCCAAAATTTCCTACCAGGCAGATGTCTTAAGTTACTCATACGCACCCGTGTCAATAGCTCTGTGAAATTTTGCGGACATTTTATTCGCTCACATTTATCGCAAGTAGTGCAGGTGCCGCGAAAGTACACCACCTCACTGACAAAATCATCCAGTTGAAGATCGTGATTTGTGCCGAAATATTTCTCACTTATATCCCACACTTTCTCGCCATTGTAGATCTCACAGACAGTTACAGCTGGGAATGTTGTGTTCCAATTGATGCTACATACATATACATATGTAAAAAAAAGTAAAATTAGAGTAAGAATTTAATTTGAGTTATTATCATAAAATACCCACTAGAGCGTGTCCAAATTGAAGGATATCGAGGAGGTGAAAAAATTATTTGTAAGATCCACAGAAACTTTCACTACGAATGGCAAAGTAAAATAGGTTGCAAATAAAAAAAATGTGCTGCAATGTGAGAAAATAAAGTTTTCTTTATTTATATTTATTTATGTATATATTTTTGGTACCCTACATACCATTTTAGAGTCTTACGCAATGGATTTGCCATTATCTCTCCCAGTAGCAAGTAGCGGCACATTCCAATGACAAATTAAGACTAGGAGCAACGTACAATTACTAGGCGCTGTTATGCGCAAATGCATGCCCGATTTTCCTAAAACTAACCGCTTTTATCTAATTCGTCCATTTAATACTGTCTTTGTTTGCATATCCCTTTGTTTATTCATTGCCTTTTGTTTCTTTTGTGAATGAAAGTGATGGATTAGGATCTACTATTTAGTAAACATGTATGTATGTAAGTCCATACATACATATCTATATATGTATATACATATGTATATTAGAGTGGCCCAAAAAAAAGTTTTCCAAGATAGGGTTTGGGGCACCTTCCAAAATTTTTCCTCTTGCCGAAAGAGGTGCTGGTACCAAAGTTTACGTTTCTATGTATAAATTTAGAGGATGCTCATATTTTACTCTAGAAGTATTGTGTACATCGGTTAAGAATCCTAAGAAAATTTCAAATTTAAATTACCTAAAAAAATTGCACAAGCTTCAGTTGTCATGGCAACAGTAGCTTTTTATAAAAATCACCACTATTTTTGCCAGTTTCACAGCGATCTAGTAGCGCCATTCATTCATTCAGGTCATTGAGCACCCTCTATTGGTTGTAGTAGAAAACTGAAAGTTGGTATAGATATTACAAGTATCAAAAAGAAAAAATTGGGGAGTGGTATAGATATTACAAATATCAAAAGGAACAAAACTGAAGGGTGCCTCGTTTTCTAGGATGAAACATTTTTTGCCCATACAAAAATTGGACTACTCTAATGTACGTATATTGATTGAAGTATCTCTTCATTCTTGCAGGTTAAAAGTTGATTTATTATATAAATACATACGTAAACTGATTTACTAGCTTGAGTATGCCAGTTTACTTTAGATCACATGTACCAGCAATTTTTCATTAGCAACTGCAAAAATACGAGGAGAAGCCCAAAAGCTCCCGTAATGAATAATTGTCTCCTTTCGATTTATTATCCTTTCAGCCTAATACATTTCTCAGCTATTTCATAACTATACCATACAAACAAATTTCTCCAGATTTTAAAAATGGCAGAAATAGTCGAATTCTCTTTCAGAAAAGTAACAGAAGGAGATAGGGGAGGGCAGGGTGGTTAGTAACGATTACGATTAGGATTAGAATTAAGAATAAAATACATAAGTGTTAATTATTAAGCAGAACAAGCAATTTGCATACCGTAGTCGAAAAAATTATAGAAGCACCACATTTTTATAAGTTTTACTAGATTATTTTTGTTGTTAATTAATTAAGGTTATTTTTTATAAAAATATAATTAATTCTTTAAAAATCAACCGTAATTTTTAGCAATTTAAAACTTTTACTTCATTCCGCTAAAATTTAACAACCAAAACTGCATCTGTCTAGAAAATCTACGACAAAGTTTCAAACTTGGATTTACACGGGTGTCGTTAAAGAATGAACAACGTATTCTTAAAAAAAAATTACCAAAATTAAATATCAATAAAATAAACATGTTAAAACTTGTCAAAATATGGTGCCCCTATAATTTTCTCTTATTTCTGAACTATATTTGCTCACTTACCACGTGCTAAAAAAAAAAAATCGTCTTAATTTATCAGTTAATTTTAATATGTATCACAATTTCTTAAGAAGACTTTTGTTTGAAAATACTTTTGAAGAAGGTTGCCATCTGTTCCAAAAGGCGAATTTAATAAAATTATACAAAATTTATATGAAATATTAAAATATGGGTGTCAAACGAAAGAGTGTTAATATATCTTCAGTTTTATCATTTAGGATATTTTTGAGGTGTTCTAAGAGGGTTGCCATCTATTTAAAAGGTTCAATTCAAATTATTTATTATGTAAATGGGTTTTTATATGATAGGTTTGTTTGGGGGAACCCTACAATTGTTTTCAACTAGTTTTTGTTATGTTACATTAACAGGAATAGGAGAGTAGATTTTCTTTGAAATTTTTTACTTTTTCCGAAGAAGTAGTTGGATTTCAGAGAGCCTGAAAGCAAAGCTGGTTTCATTCGGTACGTCACGCCGCTGCAGAAAAAAAGATGTCGCCTACAGTTCCACGTGCGATCGGGCAAAACGCGAGGTACATATTTGGTATGGACATAGGGAGTTGAAGAGGAAAACGGAACGCATTTTCTGTAACAAAAACAGGAATATGTTAATGAAAAGAGCTTGAAATTTGGCCGACGGGAAAATTACCCAAAATTTCGTGACGAAAGTTAAGAGCGTGCCAGACGTGGCAATGCAATGCATATACATATAACGAAAGGGCTATCAAATTGAAAAATTTCAGAAAGCAATTGTATGAGCATTCACACCCTGCACGTATAGTGTCTTTTGAAAGAGGGTTTTTTTTTATTTCCCAAAGGCGAATTGTAAATTGCTAGTGCAGCAGAGCAAGTTGAAATATATTTCCGAAATCGATTTGTGCTCTCTCAATTGAAGTCACATCCTGCAACATTTATTTATGAAACTGATTTCGGAAATGTGACAGGAAGGTATTTTTGGCTGTTGGTGTTGGTTGATTTTTCCGACAGGGTGGTTAGTTGACTTATTTTGGAACGAGTTTCCGTCATCCCTTGTCAAGTTTGGTTTGCAGACAAACCGGTTTCGGCGTTGTGCCATCTTCAGTGTCGAAACGAACGAAACATGCCACTGAGGATGGCACAACGCCAAAAACCGGTTTGTCTGCAAACCAAACTTGACAAGGGATGACGGAAATTCGTTCCAAAATAAATCGTCTTTTTGGCTGTTCACACATCGAAATAAAATTTCTGTTACTGAATTTGACGTCGAATTACATGGAATAGTTGGAAATATTGCCACGTCTGTCATGGTCTTTAGGCATTTTCCGAAACGTTCCAAGGCCAGGGCGAATTCTTGTAAGAGCAATTGCGTCGACTCAATACCTGTTGACCAGAATATGCTTAAATTATGGAGGCGACACTTTTCCACACTGTTGAATTGTAACAACACAGAAACCAGTGGAGAAAGTAAATCGACGAGTCCCCAGTCGAGGAGGATAAAACCAATGAACCTCCGCCCAACTCTGGCGAAGTACGACCAGCAATTCTGCAGCTCAAAAAAAAAAAACTAGTTGCTGGCCTGCGGTGCAGACATTGTCGGATGAACTCATGCCTGATGACTGTAGTTGTAAGAAACTACTGCGAGCTCAAAGTCTTAGACGTCGCGTTGGTATAAGGTCTGCCCGAGCGTCAGATAAAGAAAAAATTTAACTTGATTATCTCTTAAAAAAAAACTACCTAAAAATCATCGTTTTTTGGCCTATGTATGCTTTTTCCACAAATATAGTCTTAAAAAACGATAAATTTTCAAAATTTGGAGAAAAAGAATCGGCTCTATACTCAGATTTTTGGATCATGAACATTTTTTTCTTGAGAGCACGAATTGTTCGTATGGCCAACAGCTATCAAACCTGATAAATGCGCACTCAATTTTTTTTTTGTGTTCCTCAGTGTTATAGGTTTTATTAATCTATTCTACTTTGTCAATAAATACTATAAATACAAGTATAAAATCATTTCTTTAAGCAATAAATTCTGCACAAACATCTTACAAATAAAGACAGTCAATTAATTTAAACAATATGGCTGGTTATCCAAGGCATAAAGTGCGCTACGTTGGCATAGATACCAGGCGAATTTTTATCACTGCCACATTCAGTACCACCAAAGGAAACAATACCATATTGTACATAGCGTAAAGTTTTTTGTGGCCCACTGTACGGTGCCAAGTAGAAGAGCGGACCTCCAGAGTCGCCTTTGCATGTGTCAATTAGTCCGTCGCCACCAGCGCAGAGATGATTTTCGTTGATGCGAGTTCGCCGAAAGATCATTTGGCATTGTTCGCGTGTTTTAAATGGCACCAACGCTTTTTGCAATATATTCGAAGTTTTGCTCTTTTCGGTGCCACCCCAACCGGCTATGAAGAAGCGTCGGTCTGTGGGTATTTGTCCAGCTTCGGGAATGATTGGCAAACAAATTGGCTTAATATGCTCTGCAAAATGAGTTGATAGTATTAACGAAATCAAAGTATTTATAACATTTCCGTACTCACTTTGGAAATGCACCGGGCGGTTCAGCTTTACCAAGCCAACATCATTGGTTTTGCGCGCATTGTTGTAACCTGGGTGAGGTATAGTCCTTTCTACACCAATGTCTTCGATAGGCGGCGCACAAATACGCCGCGAGTTATGAACAGTTATGCAGTCTTCTTCCTCGGACAAATCATGTTCACCTAAACGAACGCCAATTCTAGTGCCGGGAGAAAAATGCGTTAAACCAAAGATGCTTACAAGTATAATTTTATGAGATAAAACACAAAAGTTCACAAACTTCCTATCTGACTAACTTACATTTTCTCAGCCACGCCCACCATGCAATGCGCTGCAGTCAAAACGAAATTTTCGGTTATAAGTGAGCCACCACACTTAAAACGATCGTCCTCACTATTGTAAATCAAGAGTGCCATCCAAGGAAACTCGCTCAAATTAACATCTTTACCATGTGAGACACGTTCACCACCAGCATTGCCACATTTTTGTGCACGCAATATCTTCAAGCCATTTTGATTCATTGATCCAACATAATTTGAATCATTCTCATCGCTGCCACCAAAGATTGGTGGCGTAGGATCCGTTGGTGGCATTGGGGCGGTGGTTAGAGAGAGAGTATCATCACAGCAGATATGTATCTGAAAGGTATTAATGTGCATAGTTAGATCAAGTAAAGAATTTTTACGACACAGTAGCGTCTTTAGGAAGACCTCAGTATGTATATAGGAGTATTAAGGTTGTTTAAAAAAATATTAAGTTGTTAGAATTAAGCTACAACAAGATTTACGTCGTTGACTAACTGCGCTTTAACCTAGTATTTAAAAACGCAATAATAATAATAATAATAATAGATTGGCGCTTACACATATGTTAGTGTTTGGCCGAGCTTCTTAAAAACGCAATACCTAAGCCTAATAGGACTATTTTTAAGGTAATTTATTTATATACATACATTTAAAATTTCACACGACGAAAGTAAATAGCAACAGGATCTTAGCGAGGATAGAGACACTACCTTTCCGATGCAAAAAGAATTATCGAAATCGGTTGACGTGGTCCAAAGTTATGCGGCAACATGCATTAAAAAAATATATATATTCCGACGAACTGATAACCTCCTCCTTTTTTGGAAGTCAGTTAAAAAATGCCTTTTCATCAGAGGTGAAGTCGTAATAAGGGGATTTGGTAATAATATTTGGATTCAAAAATCTTCGTACAAGAATAATTCTAGATAGATTAAAATAAAAAAAAATTGTTTCGTGTGTATATTTTTTAACGAAGTCCCTCATTTCCTTATTTGGCTTTTATACGCACGCCAGCCGTTTCTCTTTTGTGCCAACTGACGCCAAGTGAAGCCAAGTCCTTCTTCACTTGGTCCTTCCATCGCAATGGAGCCTCCCTCTTCCTCTGCTACCACCCGCACTGTGTCCATGTCGTTGTAAAGCTCATACAGCTCATTATTTCATCATCTGCAGTACTCGCTGTCACCAATGCGAAAAAGCCCGTAAATCTTCCGCAAAGTCTTTCTCTCGAATACTTCAAGAGCCGCCTAATCGGATATTGTCAGTGTTCATTCTTCTGCGCCATTACTTCTGAATTGCCTACGTAGTCCAAATTAGCACTTATTGGCAAGAGTGATTCTGCGTGGGATTTCTATGCTGACATTATTATCGGTGTTAATGGTGGTTCCTAAGTAACCAAAATTCTCTACTTTCTCGAAATACTAACAAAAGTCGACTAGCCGATTTTTCTAATTTTAGAAAGTTAATATTCAATTCATTTTATAAATGATACAAACTTAGGTCTTTGGGTATAAAATATGTACATATATGTTTGTAAATTAAATATAAGTGTATCGGAGAATTTGAAAACAGTATAAAAATATTTTTTCCATTCTTTCAAATACCGATTTCAGATTCAAATAAATGTCTGCATGTAACAGCTTAATTTAGTGTTACAAGCATTTGATAATTACTGTTTTTTAATTCGGCCCATACATATCACGATATCGGACACGTTGATGCAATGAGATGAGTAAACGAGTATGTACGTATACATACATATGTAGGTATGAACAGAATACACTTTTTCATTATTTAAATTAAAGAAAAAATTAAATCAGGAAATAAGGCTCAAATAAAATGTTATTATAAAACTTGCTTGTGTGCTCCAGCTGTTTTATTAATTTGTCTTCAAATTTTATATTAATTGCAAAAAAAGGAACATTTGCAAAGATTAAAAATATTTAAATGGTCGCATGCATATAACTGAATTCGCTAAATGCCTCATTTCATAACTAATACAATGTATGGTATTGTCATATATGTATGTACATACATTAGAGAGGCTCACCAAAAGATTTGCGGTCTTTTCATCGGACTTATAAAAATTTATAATTTATCTTGAACCTTCCGCCAAAATATGAAAAGGCCTCTAAAAATATTTTTACTTTTATTCCGCTAATACAATTATTAAACATTTTTATGCAAGCCTTTTAGCTTAAACTCTTCTATCATCTGGGGTGAATTTATTAATCTATAAAACCAAAAGTTTATATTTAAAAACTTAGATTTTCAAAAGTATGTATTTTAAATTGGGTCCAGCTCAAGTAAACCTCAATATTTTACCGAAATATTTTGTCGGATTTTCTAAAATATAATAATTTTTATAATTCGGGTTCAGATTTTATTTTTTAATTGACAGTGGGGCACGCTCATGTGCATATGTACGCCTTTATATGTACGTATCTAATATTCATGTAATTACTCGTGTTATTTATGTAATTACTCGACACAACATCAGTTAAGATGAATCCGAATTTGAGGTGTGTTCAAGTTATAGGAATTTTTTTTTTTTCGAAAATCACCGAAATATACATTATTAGAATATTTGGTGAGGGAGTCTTTAAATGCGACTATGCACAAAAAAAGTTGTTTTGGGATTTTTTTTTTCTAAGCCACTTTAATATAAAATACTTTTTCCCCGTAAACACAACGTGGTGTGCTTTATTGAACGCGGCCAGAATCGCTTAGGCGGTTATAGCGCCAATCAAGAAGAGCAAGAATAATAAGAGGAAAGAAAACATTGAACATTGCGCATTTGTAATATCACATTTGTGTAAACAATTTTAATTATTTAATTGTTGTAAATAGTTGGCATTTATTCCGCAATTTCAGATTTTATATCGGGCTTCGTAATTTCGCCATGTGAATTTTTTAGACTATAAGGCTTTGAATACAATGTGTGAATTTGATTTTTAAATAAGCTCTTAAAGTTGTAAAAATTTTTCTTTTTGTGAGGATATGACTTTTTTAGTAATATTTATGAGGCTAGATATTTTTTGATCTTTCAAATTACAGGGAAAATTTTAATGAGGTATTCTTTCTCAGATTTTTCAGCAATACGAAATGATTTCCTTTTCTTTCCTTTTCCTAAATTATTAAACTATTTTCTTTTGCCTTAAAATCAGGGGTTTTTGACCATAATGCAGATATATCGCACTTTTAATAATATATAGAATTATTTCAGAATTTCAATTTTTGTGAGAAAACGCAATCAAAGTTTGATTAATTCAGTTGGTATATCAACAGATAGATGGAAAGACACATATCTTCCCCATTTTTGGTAAGTTTGGTCATCTGTTAGGCTGAACATATTCTCCTAATCAAGCTCGTTAATTCTATAATGAAATCTCCAAAAACGGAAATTTTGAATTAATAACACTGTACAGCACTCGGCTGGGTATTGGACCAAACCAACTTTTTTTAAGAGACTGAGTCATAAGTAAAAAAAAGTAATTTCTCTGTTTTTCGAATTTAGCCGCCGAAATCGAGATATGGGCCTTCGAAGTTTGAAGTTATTTTTAATTATTGCATGTAAAAAGCAAAAAAAGTAAAAATACAGACATGGTCCGCCTTTTTCTCTTATTTATATGGTATATAAATTTTTTTGTGAAAAATTATATTACAGGTGCTATAATGGGTCAAAGGTCAAATCTTCGAAAAATTAAAAACTTATTATTTCAGAAAATTTTTACCTGATTTTTAAAAAAATCGTACCGTTGAATTCCTTTCTTGTGATGTGCATATTTATATACTTCGTATATCAAAGTTTGAGAAAAAACACATTGAAATGAAAAAAATTATTTTTTTTTATATAAAAATATTTTAAACAAAAAAATTACTAACCGATTTTTAAAAAATTGGTATCGTTGTAAAGGCGATTAAATCCCCTTTCGTCTAATGTGCATATTCGTATACTTCGTATATAAAAAATTTAGAAAAAACACTGAAAAGGAAAAAAATACCAATTTTGCAGGTACAGGGATGGTATTTTCAGGGGTAGAAGTAGGGAGTTATAGGAAAGTTCTATCATTCCTTGATTTTTTCTGCTAGAGCCTCTCAAATATTGCAAAAAACGGGTATTTTTGACACTTTGACTTCGCTTTTCTCAAAATCTGGAGCTGATGGAAACTTTATACTTATGGATTCGTAATCATCATAAAGAGGTCTAACAACAAGTAATTTTTGAGCAAACAAAAACCGACTTCTATTCTCATATATATATATATCTCATGATCCACTGATCAGATCTAAACCAGATTAGTATGGGGCCACCTCTGAGACACTACCTTTCCGACGCAAAAAGAGTTATCGAAATCGATTGACGTGCTCCAACGTTATGCAGTAACATACATAAAAACAAAACCATCAAAAAAACAAAACAAAAAATATTCCGAAGAACTGATTACCTCCTCCTTTTTTTGAAGCCGGTTAAAAATAGCTTTAACATTTGCCGCACCAATTTTTTTTAATTTTTGTTGGCCTGTGTAATCCATTAAAACACAGTTTTTACGTAACCTGACAGCCTGGGAGAATTAATCTCCATAATTCGACAAAACAGATAGCTGAAAAAAACGCTATGCGTACTTACCCCAGGTGTGCTTCCTTGACATCGAGATTTCTGTATATCCGCTAAATAGTTTTGTGGCAGTGACAGACCATACTGCGTGAAGAGTTTTTGAAGGAATCCACATTTATTGTAAGGCACACAACGACCATACGTATTGTAGGGTGTCAGGCAGGAATAATATTCTGGTGTTGTTTATTTATATTGTTGTTTTTTTTTTTCATTTGATTATTGTTTACACAAATATTTACAATGCCATGTACAAGTTTTGTCACCAAATGCCGGTTTGCGCGATGAGCGTGAAAGTAGAAGAGAAATTCATTAGCTGCAATATTTACCGGTTTTTCAGTTGATTTGAATGCAATAACTTTATTTTACACTTGCTCACACAAAAAATTGTGCAAGATAATTCGAAAAAAATGTTTCATAATTAGTTTTACTGTTATAATTTGAAAATATAACTGCATATAAAGTAGAAGTCCTTTTCTCCTGTAACTTTTTTTTTCTAACTTACGTGCAAACGTCAAATGCAATGATGAGAAGATAAGTAGAAGCCAATAAACTTTGTTGTACTGCATTTTAATTATTTTCCTTATTATATTTGGGTTTTTTTAAATTATGAAATATATGCCTATGAACTATACATACATATAATCATATATATGTATGTATGTATTTGACTATGTTCAGTTCTGACGAAAAAGTCGTGAATGTGCACTGAGGGGATTTTTTTTTTTGTTTGACCGCGACAATGTTTTTGTTTTACTTATTAAAAATATTTGCATTCATAACTTCTTAATATTTTCTTATTTTTTCTTATCATGCATTCTTTTGAGCACTTTTGTGGAATAATAAGTTCGTTGATCTTTTATTTTATCAGTATTATCAAATTATTTGCCGCACGTGCGAAAGTACGTCGCGACCGTGTGACGCTCCAATCAGAACTGAGTTTAGTAGCATTACTAATTTAAACTTTTGTTTGTGAAATAAACAACAGACAAAAAATTAGTTGATCCGCTTGTTCAGAGCGGCGCTGTTGTGCATTTGAGAATCGCCACGGCTAACATTGATGTTTTATAGTTAGTCGGCTTAATGCATTTTTGCTTTGGGTTCGCATCTTGAGTTGTTCGTTCTCACTAACGTTGGCTGGCGTATTGTTTGTTATTGCCAGCATTTGTGTTGATTTGCAGGTAGTGTTGGTAAATGGTGTATTAATGAATTAAAAAAAAAGAAATGATCTCTCCTCTTTAGCTGTTATCGACACACATTTTGAACGATAATCATCGATTTATTCTTAAATATTACTTTGATCTAAAGAATTTAACATAAACAAATAACAATTAAAAGATCTGGCCCAACAGGTCACTTCTAAAATTTATTATACAAATCGATTGAAGATCACGGCTCTAGACTATTTTCAACAATTAATTCCAGTTTTGAACCACTGTACGGCGACGGTTTACCTAAGCGGTTCTGATCAGTAGTACGAGGTAATAATTGAAAATATTTTTATTATACATTTTTTATAATTTGTCTGACTCAAGTAAGTACATAAATATTTTCTTGGTTTAATTTCGTCATAACTATACTACATGTGTGACTAGCACACCTTTTACTTATTTTAGTCTTTAATAAAAAAATTCAATAAATCCTATATATTCCAAATATTTAATCTACCGGTTCGGCTTAAGCTATAATTTTCAATTATTAGTCTCTTAGTAGATACTACAAGCAGCAACAAGTACTGATAATACAACTTCTGAGTCGACACTAGAGCTCTAATACATATACACATGTTAAACTGTTCCACTGTGCGACTTTGCTAATTTTTTCTGAAAGTATACATATGCAGTAATAAAACAGTTGATGGATTTGGAAAAGTTCCCAGCAAAAACTTTACATTTTTTGGGAAGCACTTATTTTTGTATCAATAGAGTAACGGAATACAAGTCACCTCATGACAATTTTCGCTTATCCATTGCATTACCAGGCAAGAAATTCTACATTTATTCGAATACCTCCAATGATATGCACATGTTAAAATAATGCATTCTGTAAACGAAAAGGTAAGCGGTTATCCCAGATTGGGGAACCACTTTTCAAGAGTAACCGCTTACCGTTTCGTTTACAGAATGCATTATTTTAACATGTGCATGTCATTGGAGGTAATCGAATAGATGTAAAATTTCTTGCCATTGCATTAACTGTCCTTTCGACCTTTACTTCAAGAAACCTCTCAAACAGAAAATTTCTATAGTCGTAATAGGATTAAAATGTTTTAGAGAATTATTTTTCGGAAAATTTTACTAGGTGCCTTCTCATGCGAAATCTTCATGTCACCGATGTAAAGTCTTTAAATTCAAAATAAAAAATGTATGTCAAGACGGAATAAAATTTGATTGAAAATGCATTTAGTCCAGGACAAACTTTTCAATTTCAGGCTGCATTGTCGTTCTCGAAAAATCAGTCGGCCGACCAAACAGTAATTTTTTTTTGCAGGTACCAAGTATAGAAAAAGTCAAGATTTTAATACATCGGACTTTAATGCTATCCCAAAAATTAATTTCAATGCTTAGAATACTTAAGTACCTATGTATGAATGTACTAGAGAAGGTACTAAGAAACTAAAACATCTGTCAAATATTTTTTTTTTTAGATAAGCCATCTTTGGTACGTTACACAGTGGTCGAAGGAACCATTTTTTACGCGAAAAAAATATATTTGAAAACTATTATAAATTAACCGAAATAAAGCTTATCTTATTCAGAAATGTCTAACGAACTCAAAACTGATTATTACTTTCAAAAATATCTGCTGAAAAAGCCGTTGAATCCGTTGAATTCAATGGATTCTATCGTAGCACGTTCTAACAGTTATGAGTTGATAACTTTATTAACAATTTTTTGTATGGAAACTTTCAATAATAACAGTAATTGCTGGTTTGGTCGTACTTCTTAAACATGGAAAATAATGATTTCATATGAAATATTACATAATTAATCTTGGTTGCTAAATTATCAACACCTTAATAACACTGCTTACTTTTCAAGAAATATTTTCTTCAAAAAGGTATAAGTAATTTGTAGGGCCGAGTAGGATCATCATTCCTTTACCAAAAAATTTAACCAAAGGCCCCTTTAAGGATCTAGGAAAAGAAACTGTTTAGTTTTATTTATGAAGAATTAGCTAATTGTTGTATAGGAATTTTCATCAACTTTTCCTTTCTCTTCGATTTTTTAAATATTTTAAACCTATAATATAAAAACCAAAAATTCCCAATCGTAGAAAAACAAATCGTTTGTAAACCTAAACACGGTATTTATCCATTCAATATATCAATAGTTTCTTCCATCGACGCAGAATCACTAACACCACAGTATGGTTCCAAAAAGAAGTTTAAACTAGTTCTTTCAAATTACACCCGATTTACATGATTCAAGTACTTTAAAGCAATTCTGGTTCACTCTCTTTTGCCGTTTCTATTTGCTTTTACACGCTTAAATTTTGTTGAATTCCAGTTTTCGCTTCTTTAAATGGGAAACAACGAAAATGGCAAAAGCAAAGCAAGAAACTTGAAACCACTTGGCGGTACAGACGCATATGTACTCTTCCCGTTTCTTCTCAACCCCTCTCTTCCACTACCAAGCAGAATTGAATTCAATACTTGAACCGTGTAAAACCCGGTAGCAGGTAAAAAAATAGTGATGTGTAAGCAAATCAATATTGCCAAATTCCCATTTTGAAAAATAAAGAAATGCATACTAACTACTGCAAACAAAGACTATCGATAGTGGCCAACGACCATTCGATAGTGCAAAAAAATAGAACCATTCGACAGTATTGATAGTACCATCGATAGTTTTACAGCCTATTACTTTTGGAAAAATTTACAGTCCATTTGACAGCTGCCAACTGTCAAGGTTTTAATTTGACATGAAATTCGTGATCAGCATGTTAAAAAACGTAATCAGTGGTATTTTCAAAATCATTTTCCTAATTTTAGATAAATTGATTGGATTTAGCATTACAAAAATACTACGATCCCGCAGTTGTATTATATCATATCATATCATCATAACAGCTTTTCTAGTTTTCCGCGTAAAATATGCTTTCTCCGACCACTGTGCGTTAAGGTAAGATTTAGTTGTAGTAAAAAAGGTTGAATACCAAAAACGATATCGAGAACAAAACGATAGTAATTCTTTTTTTTAACTATGACAACTACCAGCAATGTACATATTCAAAAACAGAAAGAAAACATGGTAATATTGAAGATTTAGCAAGTTATTGTTGATTGTACTGAACTTACCTACATATGCACTTACTGATTCGGCTTTTTTAAATTTTTTTTAGAAACTTTTCAACACTGTGCTGAAAGGAAGTCATGCATTATTGTGCAACCTGTTTCTGCATTCCACTCATTTATAATCAGAGTCTCATGTATGCACTTGTGTACATAATTGAGTATGTATGCAGATATTTACTTTTGTTTCAGCACAAATGTGAATATACATACATATGTATGTACGACGACACATATGCACGTAGTTAGTTAAATAATGCATATAACTTAAAGCAAGCCCCGTGGTTTTAAAGGGGATTTACCGGCATTTGTCAATGTTACCATGTTACCTACCTGCGTTCTCTCTCGGAAGGCTTGTCCGCAAACACACCGATGTGCTCAATGTATGTATGGTAACACGTTTTAGATAACAAAGAAGTTGGCCATTCATGTTTATAAATCGTTATGGGTTTTCCCAAGCAAAACCATTGACGTTTTTAATTGTAGTAAATTGTGTTTTTTTTTTTTGTGCACTCATGTTCCCATACAATAATTATTGTAAATAATAATTTACTTACCAAATTGAGTTACTCTCCAAGTTAGTTTTTTTTACATTAGTTTTGTAGAAAAAAATACGCGCCCTTAGGCTGTGTGCGAGTACGTTTAAATTGCTACCTAAATATAGAAAAAAGCCCTAAATCACTGGGAAGTGTCGATGATACAGTGAATAGGGCCAATTCAGTTTTTTTTCGATCACACTTTTTAACTTAAATTGAAATATGAAATATATTTGACCGAGCGATTAAGTGAATAACGTCACTCGGCAGGCAATGGCAAACCTGGGTATATCTCTGCTATAAAAAACAGCTTCTCAAAAAAATTGAATCGCCGTTCGGAGTCGGTGTAAAACTATAGGTCCCTCCCCTTTATGTGGCAATATTAAGGCGCACGCCACAAATCGGAGGAGAAGATCGCCCAAAGACTAACATATTGTGTAGGTAGCAACCTATTATTATTATTATTAGGAAAAGATTAAAGAGCCCTCGGAAAATTGTCTCGCCAAAAGCTCACGATCATAGCAAGATGCAAAAGCACTACGATTTACGGATATGCGCCTGGAATGTCCGGCCCCACTATAAGGAAGGTGTCTTTTACCAACTGCTGGATGAAATACGTTGAAGAAGACTGATCTACATATTTGATTTAGCGGCACGAAGAACAGTGGTTAGTAATACCAGATGCCAGCATCGAAACATCTATAAAGCCGATTGGATATCTTCCGATCAATGAACGAAAAAAACAAATTATTTACGGAGTGATTAACAGAACGTACTATTCGAGTATTCTTTACTCGCTATCTCTTCAATATAATCGGGTTAGGATCACTAATTATGCGATAAAGAACGTGCTTATGGCAGCTTAACGTTATCTTAGACGGGATTTAAACCCGGACCTTCTGGGAGTTAGCGAATAACAGCAAGCATCCCTACACACTCAGCTACAGTCGTTCTGTAAAATTGTCCTTAAATGTTAAACTTTAATAAAGTTATAAAAAAAATTACATGAGCCTATACTATAAGTGCAAACTAAGTAGAATATATTAAAAGATAATAACTGTTTTAGCATTTTTTTGAGTAAAAATTATAATAAATTTTCTGTTAGAATTCATTTTTTTGTACAGGAACAAATGTAAGCTGAAAAGGACGTTCACAGTATATAAAATTATCGAGTAACAAGGAAACTTATAATGACACT